CGAAGACGGCATAGACATGCTTCACCAAGCTCAACTCTTCGGACACGTAATTGTGTTAGTGTTAAAGATTCAACAATAAACCCTAGTCTATACAGCGTTGATGATATCAGCTCTGTCCAGACTTCTTCTCATTTGTGTTGATGTATTACATTGTTAATGCCCTTAGAGAGATCGGCACAGCCAAGCATGAGAGGCACCAAGGAATGAACGAACGAACGAACTAACTTTATTTTTAAAGGGTTAAGAATTGGGCACGCAGGCCCGCCTAACATTCTACCCGTCGTGGGCTCCCACTATTCTTACATCATTTCTTTCTCACATTAAGTAATAAACATTATCAATGGCATCAAACAATTGAGTACAAGCACTAGAATGTCTTCATTTATAACTAAAATACACCGTAGTGGTTGTAATAAATCTAAGGAAAATGGGCGCTATTTCAAAGGACGTACAAGAAGATATGTTAGCCAGCATAAGACTGCGGGGCGCTGATGTATATGTTGACGGGGAATCCAAGCACCTATAGACGTGTCCGGAGTGCCGCAAAGATATCTCAACTCATAATTCATAGTTCACTTAAAGCAGAATTAAAATCTGCAGATTAAATAATGACATGGTTAGAAGCACGCCAAAGCCGACTGCTGTGTGAGCAATCTAGGATAGTGTCTGTACTCTCATACTCGTAGACTATTAACGTTGAAGGAAATCACAGCACTCACACTTAAAGACATGACAGTCTGCTGTCGAGACTCACACTTAAAGACACGACAGTCTGCTGTCGAGACACACACTTAAAGACATGACAGTCTGCTGTCGAGACTCACACTTAAAGACATGACAGTCTGCTGTCGAGACACACACTTAAAGACATGACAGTCTGCTGTCGAGACACACACTTAAAGACATGACAGTCTGCTGTCGAGACACACACTTAAAGACATGACAGTCTGCTGTCGAGACACACACTTAAAGACATAACAGTCTGCTGTCGAGAGTCACACTTAAAGACATGACAGTCTGCTGTCGAGACACACACTTAAAGACATGACAGTCTGCTGTCGAGACACACACTTAAAGACATGACAGTCTGCTGTCGAGACACACACTTAAAGATATGACAGTCTGCTGTCGAGACTCACACTTAAAGACATGACAGTCTGCTGTCGAGACACACACTTAAAGACATGACAGTCTGCTGTCGAGACACACACTTAAAGATATGACAGTCTGCTGTCGAGACTCACACTTAAAGACATGACAGTCTGCTGTCGAGACATACACTTAAAGATATGACAGTCTGCTGTCGAGACATACACTTAAAGACATGACAGTCTGCTGTCGAGACTCACACTTAAAGACATGACAGTCTGCTGTCGAGAATCACACTTAAAGACATGACAGTCTGCTGTCGAGACACACACTTAAAGACATGACATTCTGCTGTCGAGAGTCACACTTAAAGACATGACAGTCTGCTGTCGAGACTCACACTTAAAGACATGACAGTCTGCTGTCGAGAGTCACACTTAAAGACATGACAGTCTGCTGTCGAGACTCACACTTAAAGACATGACAGTCTGCTGTCGAGAGTCACACTTAAAGACATGACAGTCTGCTGTCGAGACTCACACTTAAAGACATGACAGTCTGCTGTCGAGACTCACACTTAAAGACATAACAGTCTGCTGTCGAGACTCACACTTAAAGACATGACAGTTTGCTGTCGAGACTCACACTTAAAGACATGACAGTCTGCTGTCGAGAGTCACACTTAAAGACATGACAGTCTGCTGTCGAGACTCACACTTAAAGACATAACAGTCTGCTGTCGAGACTCACACTTAAAGACATAACAGTCTGCTGTCGAGACTCACACTTAAAGACATGACAGTCTGCTGTCGAGACTCACACTTAAAGACATTACAATCTGCTGTCGAGACTCACACTTAAAGACATGAGAGTCTGCTGTCGAGACTCACACTTAAAGACATAACAGTCTGCTGTCGAGACTCACACTTAAAGACATGACAATCTGCTGTCGAGACTCACACTTAAAGACATGACAGTCTGCTGTCGAGACTCACACTTAAAGACATAACAGTCTGCTGTCGAGACTCACACTTAAAGACATGACAGTCTGCTGTCGAGACTCACACTTAAAGACATGACAGTCTGCTGTCGAGACTCACACTTAAAGACATGACAGTCTGCTGGCGAGACTCACACTTAAGGACATGACAGTCTGCTGTCGAGACTCACACTTAAAGACATGACAGTCTGCTGTCGAGACTCACACTTAAAGACATGACAGTTTGCTGTCGAGACACACACTTAAAGACATGACAGTCTGCTGTCGAGACTCACACTTAAAGACATGACAGTCTGCTGTCGAGACACACACTTAAAGACATGACAGTCTGCTGTCGAGACACACACTTAAAGACATGACAGTCTGCTGTCGAGACACACACTTAAAGACATGACAGTTTGCTGTCGTGACTCACACTTAAAGACATGACAGTCTGCTGTCGAGACTCACACTTAAAGACATGACAGTCTGCTGTCGAGAGTCACACTTAAAGACATGACAGTCTGCTGTCGAGAGTCACACTTAAAGACATGACAGTCTGCTGTCGAGAGTCACACTTAAAGACATGACAGTCTGCTGTCGAGACACACACTTAAAGACATGACAGTCTGCTGTCGAGACTCACACTTAAAGACATGACAGTCTGCTGTCGAGACACACACTTAAAGACATGACAGTCTGCTGTCGAGACACACACTTAAAGACATGACAGTCTGCTGTCGAGACACACACTTAAAGACATGACAGTCTGCTGTCGAGACTCACACTTAAAGACATGACAGTCTGCTGTCGAGAGTCACACTTAAAGACATGACAGTCTGCTGTCGAGAGTCACACTTAAAGACATGACAGTCTGCTGTCGAGAGTCACACTTAAAGACATGACAGTTTGCTGTCGAGAGTCACACTTAAAGACATGACAGTCTGCTGTCGAGAGTCACACTTAAAGACATGACAGTCTGCTGTCGAGACACACACTTAAGGCCATGACAGTCTGCTGTCGAGAGTAACACTTAAAGACATGACAGTTTGCTGTCGAGAGTCACACTTAAAGACATGACAATCTGCTGTCGAGACACACACTTAAAGACATGACAGTCTGCTGTCGAGACTCACACTTAAAGACATGACAGTCTGCTGTCGAGACTCACACTTAAAGACATGACAGTCTTCTGTCGAGACTCAGACTTAAAGACATGACAGTCTGCTGTCGAGACTCACACTTAAAGACATGACAGTCTGCTGTCGAGACTCACACTTAAAGACATGACAGTCTGCTGTCGAGACTCACACTTAAAGACATGACAGTCTGCTGTCGAGACTCACACTTAAAGACATGACAGTCTGCTGTCGAGACTCACACTTAAGGCCATGACAGTCTGCTGTCGAGACTCACACTTAAGGCCATGACAGTCTGCTGTCGAGATCCATTTCCATTCTAGAAGAAAAAATTATCAAAAATTCGACGACCTTCAACCTTCTGTTGGCAGACGCAAGCTACCGAGAGTTAAATTTGTGTTCTGCTTCAATTGCGTCCCTTGCTGGACCAAGTTTGTGGCACCGCCATCTCCAGATAGAGTTGGCCGTGGTTTGTGGTATGTGCACGAGCTAGGTGGCTTTATCCTGTGGGGATAGATCCAGATGGGGTACTCTTTTTCATATTAGCACAGAGACCAGCGAGGCAGTAGAAGAGGTGGCATTGTCTGTGCGACAAGCTAAAAACTCATCTACTAGTGTGCCTTCTATCTGCTGTCTATGCAATCCAAGAACTCATAGCTACCATTGGCGTATAGTTCTTTCGTTCTAGTGATTGTTGAAGGACGGTGGGCGGTGAATGGCTTCATCTGTTCTCATTGACAATAGCATTATCTGCAAAGAACTAGTGCAAAGCTGCAATAAAATTATACAGAAAGTGACCGAAGTTGACTTAAGTCAAATAAATCACATAAAAATAAAAAAAAAAATAATAGTTCACATTGGTCAACTAAGAACTTTAACTCTTTTAGTGCCAAGCAGCAATTACTTCAACTGCTTTTATCCCAAGGGGCAGAGTTAAAAACTTAATACGTAAGCCTTAGGATTTCAACAGCGACATTATGTTTCATGTGTAGTTAAACTAAAATTCAGAGCAAAGGGTCCCCGTGTGGGTTCGGGGCCCTATAGGGAAAACAAGAATAGATCCACTGCCTACCCAAAGCCTGTCGCAAGAGTCGACTAATTTAGAGCTTTCTTCAAAGTGCATCTGCCTGAGAGGCAACGAACCAACAGTCTGCATACAAATTAGTTAGATCTGTTAAACGAATGCACACACAACACTCAGGTTCTGGAAAAGACTGCAGTCCAGAAGTGGACGATCAACCAGAACTTTCCACCGGAGTTTACAGCTGGTGAACGCGAAAAAGAAGAAGAAGAAGAAGAAGAAGAAGAAGAAGAAGAAGAAGAAGAAGAAGAAGAAGAAGAAGAAGAAGAAGAAGAAGAAGAAGAAGAAGGTGAAAAAGAAGAAGAAGAAGAAGAAGAAGAAGAAAAATAAGAAGAGCAAAAGGGTTAATACAACATCCATCTGTTGTAGAAGGCAGCCAGCATATCATGTTATTTTTGGAACAGCCAAGAAGCGTACGGTGAGTTGTTTGGTATTAAACAAGCTAAGGCTTTCAAAACGGACCCCCTTCTCCCAGCCCCTTTTGCATTCTTGTAGTGAATAATTTGTAGCCGAGTACTAAAATTAGAAAGGTGTTTCCCCGAGCGGAGTTTTCGGTTAATCCGTGACGTCACACAGCTGAGAGGAAGTGACGAAGTCCACATTTGCACACAGGTTATTTTTAGGGCCTTGGCCGTCAAGAGGCAAAAATGTCGGATTCCAATCTGTAGCTGCTAAATAAACAGGATGTTATTTCACAAATTTCTGCTTCAACATGACTAGCGAAGGGCCAAGGAGACATGGCCAGATGAAAATTCTGCTAACGAGTAAGTAGCTTGTGGTGATAACATTATTACATATTCAGCAATCTTTCAGTTAAACCGCACTGCTGTAGTCTGCAGTTGAAAGTTGGTGCTCCAGTGCAGAACAAAATGGCCGCCTGTGTCTGTAACCAAGTGTCCCATTGTTCATTATTCCAGTCCCTCTGGTGTCTTCACTGTTTATAACTTTAGTAATATAATAGTAAAATTTATTGCCATTGCTATTCTTTAGCTGCTATTATGCGTAAACGGTAATTATAAAATATCAAAGGTAACACTCAGAATACATAATTTATAGTTAAATTTTTAGGCTCTCCTGTCAAATCCGGACGAAGAATAAACAGCCGTGGACGAGTTAGTCAGAGTTCTCTCCCTTGGCCGCACTCCGAACAGTAATCGGAAAACAAACGAAATAAACGACACACTTACCTATCATCCTGCGGTTGCGTGTAGGGCTGCGTACGGTTTCGTGAGGCATTGTGAATGGTTGTGTAGTCATCATCATGCGGTTGTTGGGTTAGAGTTAGGGGTAGGGTTAGGGTTAGGGGTCGGGTTAGGGTTAGGGTTAGATGTTAAAATTTTGACGTAGGGTTTGGAAATAGTGGCCGACAATCTGATGTTTGTGGGCGTGGCGCCACTGGAATTCTGCTAAATATGACGCCAATAGTGTGCGGCTGGTGCCCAATCGTTGGCGAATGGTGCGTTTCACCAGCTTGCCGGGGACATAGGAACATTGGCCGTGTGCACCAGGAACACGGTTGCGTGTTCCTTATCAGACTATGCTCAGCTAGCCACCGCAACCACGCATACTTATCTGTCATTATGGCATACAGGTCTGCAGGAGTTACGTCCGTGGCAACTAAGTCGTGCGTCGGAATAACGATGTTAGTTATGTGAGTGCGTCTAACTGCCATGTTGCTTGTGTCGTTTGTTTCGTTGTGGCTTTTCCGATCACTGTTCGCAGTGCGCCCAAGGGAGAGAACTCTGACTAAGTCGTCCAAGGCTTTTTATTCTTCGTCCGGATTTGACAGGAGTACCAATTTTTAAGTTAGTAAAAGTAGTAGTAGTAGTAGTTATTTTTTAGTACAGGGGTACTAATTAATTACTCTAATAAAATGTATTATAATTATAGTTTATTATAAATAACAAATAAATTTATTATGTGATTAATGCACAAAAGAAAAATTAAGGCTCTACACAATTTATTTTTATTCAGTCAAATGTCCAAATGCAAACGAACTTGCAAATTTATTTTCATTCAGATAACTTTCTCTTTGAAATAAACTTGAATAAACTATTAACGAGTTTCTGAGACAAAGTTAGTCATAAGAGTTAAAACAGTTAAGTTAGTAAAACTCAAATTATTGTAATATGTAATACAGTCAGTTTACTGACTTAAAAGAAGCCAGGTTACTGAAACTGAAACATACAGTCAGTTAGACATAGCCGACTTACTGGGACATGGTGAAATTATTAAAACAGCCAAGTTACAGGAACATTGCTCAGTAGTTACTAAACAAGTTTTTTTTTAGCATTTTTTTTTTAAGCACTGTATTGAAATAAGCATATTAAGGGGCAAGAAGTAGATAAATAATAAAGTTTTCAATACTGTTACTAGTAATGGTCACTCTGTATTAAACTGTTTAAGGACAGCCTACATTTTAATAAATCAGTCGCAGTAAACATAGTGGCTCTCTATCAAAATAGCCAGAGCGCTGTAAGAACAACGGAAGGTATGACAGACTGGTTCCCCATTACATCAGGAGTACGACAAGGATGTGTCCTATCACCCCTACTCTTCATCACATATATGGATATAATTGCACAGGAGTCAAACCAAAACACAGATTTTTAAATGAACTACTCTTTGCAGATGACCAATGTTTGTTACAAGAAGATGAACAAAAACTACAACAACATGTTGATTCATTGCTCACTAACTGTAGAAAATTTGACATGAAAATAAACACCTCAAAAACTGAAGTAATGACCATAGGAAAGAAACACAGTAATGTAAGCATAAAAATCAATGACATACAATTAGAACAAGTTCAATAATTCAAGTACTTAGGGTGCATTTTTACAGAAGATGGAAGACTTGATAAAGAGATACAGGCTAGAGTTCAAAAAGCCAATGCAGTCAACTACCAACTGGCCCCACTTCTTCGTCATCCAAAGATCTTGTTACCAGCCAAACAACGGATGATCAACAGCATTTTCATCCCTACTTTATGTTATCAGTGCCAAACGTGGACAATAAAAAAATCACATATGCAAAAATAACTACATGTGAAATGTGATGTCTCAGAAGAGTCACCAACAATACACGAAGAGACAGAGTCACAAACGTCAGCATTAGAGACAAAGTTGGAACAAGAGCATGCATGGAACATATTGAAAGACAGAGAATGGAGTGGTTTGGCCATTTAGTAAGAATGCAACCGGATCAGATTGCCTATAAGGCCTTTTACAGTAGAACATCGGGAAGAAAGGCCAGAGGAAGACCCAGGAAAAAATGGATAGATGGAGTAGCTGAGTACGGCCAGAAGATCCAGAAAACTGTCACTCAAATCACGCGAGAGGCACAAAACAAATATTTTAAACCACGACACTGGGCTGCAACGCGCTAAAAGTGAAGAAGACAATAGATAGATAGACACACTGGGCTGCAACCCGCTAAAAGTGAAGAAGACAATAGATAGATAGAGTAAATAGGTGGGTAGCTAAAAATGAACGGTAATAGGCCTTGATGTTCAGTATTATAATGAGTGGTCAGTGATAATGATTCTGTGAGAGATTGCAAATTGTGAGAGGCATGATCACCTTCTCGTCAGCAAGGCACTTAATGATGATGATAGTGGCATACAGTTTAAATTATGTGCTGGTCTTTCTATCCAGTAGTTTTCTGGTCTTTTGCCTCAAGCAGTCTTTTTTTTTTTTCCCCCAAGTAATGCAGTGGTCTGGGCTTGATATAAATGATGATTTTCTTTTCATATAGTACATAACTTTTTTGTTTCATGTAACTGTAAGTCTTTGTTTTAAGTAATATTGTGGTCTGTGTTTAAGAAAATGTGGAAATCCTCACCTCAAGCAGTATTGTGGACTTTGTTTTATGTAATGTGTGGTGGTCTTTGTTTCTTGTAATGTGTGGTGGTCTTTCTTTCATGTAATGTATTGTGGTCTTTGTTTCATGTAATGTGTGGTGGTCTTTGTTTTATGTAATGTGTGGTGGTCTTTGTTTTATGTAATGTGTGGTGGTCTTTGTTTTATGTAATGTGTGGTGGTCTTTGTTTTATGTAATGTGTGGTGGTCTTTGTTTTATGTAATGTGTGGTGGTCTTTGTTTCTTGTAATGTGTGGTGGTCTTTGTTTCATGTAATGTATTGTGGTCTTTGTTTCATGTAATGTGTGGTGGTCTTTGTTTCATGTAATGTATTGTGGTCTTTGTTTCTTGTAATGTGTGGTGGTCTTTGTTTCATGTAATGTGTGGTGGTCTTTGTTTCATGTAATGTATTGTGGTCTTTGTTTCTTGTAATGTGTGGTGGTCTTTGTTTCATGTAATGTATGGTGGTCTTTGTTTCTTGTAATGTGTGGTGGTCTTTGTTTCATGTAATGTGTGGTGGTCTTTGTTTCATGTAATGTATGGTGGTCTTTGTTTCTTGTAATGTGTGGTGGTCTTTGTTTCATGTAATGTGTGGTGGTCTTTGTTTCATGTAATGTATGGTGGTCTTTGTTTCATGTAATGTTGTCATTATTATTTCAAGTACTATCGTGTTCGTTGCTTCAAGCAGTAATTGTGGTCTTTATTTTAAAAAATGCAGAATCTTTTGTCTTAACTAACCTGGAGGTGCTTGTTTCAAGTAATTTTGTAATCTTTGTCTCAAGTAATATAGAGGTCTTTGTCTCTAGTAATGTGAAAATGTTTGTCTCAAGTAGTACGGACTTCTTTGCCTCTAGTTATGTGGAGGTCTTTGTCTCTAGTAATGTGAAGATGTTTGTCTCAAGTAATACGGAGGTCTTTGCCTCTAGTAATGTGGAGATGTTTGTCTCAAGTAATATGGAGGTCTTTGTCTCTAGTAATGTGGAGATTTTTGTCTTAAGTAATACGGAGGTCTTTGCCTCTAGTTATGTGGAGGTCTTTGCCTCTAGTAATGTGGAGGTCTTTGCCTCTAGTTATGTGAAGGTCTTTGCCTCTAGTTATAGAGAAGTCTTTGCCTCTAGTTATGTCGAGGTCATTGCCTCTAGTTATGTGGAGGTCTTTGTCTCTAGTTATAGTGAGGTCTTTGCCTTTAGTTATAGGGAGGTCTTTGCCTCTAGTTATGTGGAGGTCTTTGCCTCTAGTTATGTGAAGGTCTTTGTCTCTAGTTATGTGGAGGTCTTTGCCTCTAGTTATAGGGAGGTCTTTGCCTCTAGTTATAGGGAGGTCTTTGCCTCTAGTTATAGGGAGGTCTTTGCCTCTAGTTATAGGGAGGTCTTTGCCTCTAGTTATAGGGAGGTCTTTGCCTCTAGTTATGTGGAGGTCTTTGTCTCTAGTTATGTGGAGATTGTTGTCTCAAGTAATATGGAGGTCTTTGCCTCTAGTAATGTGGAGATGTTTGTCTCAAGTAATATGGAGGTCTTTGCCTCTAGTAATGTGAAGATGTTTGTCTCAAGTGATACGGAGTTCTTTGCCTCTAGTTATGTGGAGATTTTTGTCTCTAGTTATGTGGAGGTCTTTGTCTCTAGTTATGTGAAGGTCTGTGTCTCTAGTTATGTGGAGGTCTTTGTCTCTGGTTATGTGGAGGTCTTTGTCTCTAGTTATGTGGAGGTCTGTGTCTCTAGTTATGTGAAGGTCTTTGTCTCGAGTTATGTAAAGGTCTGTGTCTTTAGTTATGTGGGGGTCTGTGTCTCTAGTTATGTGGAGGTCTTTGTCTCTAGTTATGTGAAGGTCTTTGTCTCTAGTTATGTGGAGGTTTTTGTCTCTAGTTATGTGGAGGTCTGTGTCTCTAGTTATGTGAAGGTCTTTGT